AGCCCAGGCCACGGGGTGAAAACCCACACCACGGGGTGAGAGCCCAGGCCACAGGGTGAGAGCCCAGACCACGGGGTGAGAGCCCAGACCACGGGATGAAAACCCACACCACGGGGTGAGAGCCCAGGCCACGGGGTGAGAGCCCAGACCATGGGGCGAGAGCCCAGCCCACGGGGCGAGAACCCAGGCCACGGGGCCAAAACCCAGATCACGGGGTGAGAGCCCAGGCCACGGGGTGAAAACCCAGATCACGGGGTGAGAGCCCAGACCACGGGGTGAGAGTCCAGGCCACGGGGTGAGAGCCCAGGCCATGGGGTGAAAACCCAGACCGGGGGGGTGAGAAACCACTGTGGAACCAGACACGGGAGCAGGGCCAGGCAGCTGGGGTCCAGTGAGGCCAGAAGCATGGCCCAGCAGGTAGGGCCTTGGGCCTGGGGCCGTGAGCCTGAGCCCTGGGCAGTGGGGAGCTATGGGAGAGCCCAAGCAGAAGGGGTGTAGCCTCCATGCGTTTGAGGGCCCTGCTTCTGCTCCTCCCACCAGGAGCGCTGTTCTGTCTCTGCTGTACACCCGGGGGCAGCCTGACTGGGACCCTGGCAGGCCAGGAGGGCAGGGCTGCTGCCTCGTGTGGGAGCCAAGGAAAACACACCTCCTGATGCCAGACCTGGGGCAGGCAAGTCCCCCCACACCTGTCACCCATCAGCCCTCCGGAAAGACACACAGAGCAGTGGCTTGACATCACAGTTTATTCAGAGCAGGTGCAGGCGACCAGGAGGGCAGGGTGCCCAGGAGAGCCAGGTGGGCGGGGGCTCCAAGCCTCCTGGCCTGAGGCAGGAACTCCACTAAATCAGCTCCTGTGACATAAACGTGCAGGGGCTCAGGCCTGCGTGGTCTCTGGGGGGCCCCACGAGGCAGCGATGAGGGCCACATGGCCAGGGCTGCCGTCCTAGCTGCCTGACTCTGGCGAAGCACCCAGCTCCCCGAGTGCTTTCTCAATCTGCAAAATGGGGTAACAACCCCAAACTCTAGGACTGAGACAAAGCGAGGTCAGGGAGACAATGGGTTCTTGTGGTGCCAGACACGGGAACCCTGAGGGCACCCACAGGGCCTGCACCTGCCCCCGAGGGGACCCGCACCCCGCCCTCAATGGGACCTGCAGGGGTAGAAGCAGCCAGCAGTCCTGCACAGAACACCGAAGAAAAGGCACCATTCCTGCTCCCCTGTCGCACCCAGCTCTGTACCCCGTGACCCCAGTCTCCCAGGGTCCCTGCCTGGCAGCCTGGGGTCACCACCCCGGAGGCTCCAGCTCTTTCCAAGCCAGGAGACAGACCATCTCTGGTGCTGGGTGTCCTGATCACAGAAAGAGGTGAACGAGGCCCCACCCGGGGCCGGGAGGTGGAGCCACGGGACGGGTACTGGGCCAGGGTCCCAGGGACGTCAGCGCAGGCCGGGGTGGGGCAGGCTCACCTCTTTCAGGAGCTTGGCGCAGCGCCCTGTGGGACAGGCCAGCGTCAGGAGCTGCAGAACCAACCCACAGGGCCCAGCCCGCGATCACCCCAAGGCCCCTGGGCTTACCAGGCCGGGCTGCCAGGTAGAGTCCGGTGTCTGCTGTCAGCTCCCGGAAACTCCGGAACCCCAGCCGCTCCTCGTCCTCCAGGCTCCGAGCTGTGGGGCACAGGGGGGCTGGTGGGCAGTCCCCGGAGGGCGGCAGCTGGGCAGAGCCCCCCGGGCCAAGCTTACTGAAGTATTTGAGGACGTGGAAGTTCCTGCCCCGCCACATCAGGGACACCCGCAGGATGGCGTAGCCCTCGTAGTCCGTGTCCAGCACATGGATCTCTCTGTGGCCTTCAGGAGCCATCCAGGGCGTTGGGAGAGACCTCTGAGGGGCCGGGGTCTGCAGGGTCTAACTCCATCCTGCCCCCACCCAGCCCCTGCACTTGAGTGGCTGGGGACACTGCAGCAGCTCTTGAAGGATGACCCAGTGTGTGGGTGAGAGAATGGGAGGGTCTGGGGCATGAAATGTGCAGGGAACAGCATGGGGAACAGCACAGAGGACAGCACAGAGAACAGTGCAGGGAACAGCACAAGGAACAGCACAGGAAATAGCACAAAAAACAATGCAGGGAACAGCACAGGGAACAGTGCAGAAAACAGCACAGGGAACAGCGCAGGGGACAGCGCAGGGGAACAATAAGGCAAGTCCTGGCTGTGTGCACTGCCAGGCTCCACCTGCTGTGACAGGGCAACTGCACTTACCAGGAAAAGTGAATTTTCCTGTAGTGTCTATTTCTGAGCCCACGACCCTGTCTATCTCGCAGCTTCCTGAGCTGAAAGGCAGCAAAGCGCTCATCGGGAAAATGCCAGCCCGTGTCCCACCTGCTGGACTCCTTCCCAGAGTGGGGCCATGTCTTTAGGAAGGGCACGGGCAGCAGGGCCTGGAGCAGGACAAGGCAGGGAGAGGGCCAGGCAGGGAGTGTGCCAGGCGGGGAATGTGCCAGGAGGGGGCTGAACCGGCCTCCCCCGGGGCCTCTGTTCCCTCCAGCCAACCACCTGCCCTACCCCCCTTTTCTTTCCTTATAAGTTCATGGGGCTTTATTAAAACACTTTGCTGATATTTGGGAGAAAATCAGATTCAGGAGCTGCTTGAGGGCCCAGACAGGTGGGCACAGGGAGGGCCGGCCCACCAGCGGGATGGCACCCAGCCCAGACCCCACGCTGTGCCCAGTCCCCCGCCACGCAGGCCTCTTCCTCTCTGGCAGCCCCCAGCCCTCTTACCTATTGTATGCGACCTTCACAGTCAGGTTACTCTTGTTCCAGGTGAGGAACAGGCCCTCCACCCGATTCCGGGGGGTCAGCACCAGGCTTTGCTCAGAGGCCACACCGACTTCCCGCCAGAATCCTCCAATCTAGAGAGAAGCGGAGCTCCACCAGGCGCTGAGCAGCTGGACTGAGAGCCCCGGGGGTGTTCCACGGACCCCCAAGCAGGGGCCTGGTGGGCTCTAAGAGGTCAGCAGATGGCGGCGAGGCTCAGTGGCAAAGCAGCAAGACATCTGTGAGCCCACTGTCCCCAGGTGCGTGTCCTTCCAAGCGGTCCCCTCAGGCCATCGAACAGCAATGCCCCACAGGGCAGCCCTTCCCCACTGGGCCATCTAGAGCCGTGGAGCAGGCCCAGGGGCTTCCAGGCCATGTGGGGAAGAACCGCAGGTCGTGCCTGACCTTGGGGGGCAGGACCCAGGGGCAGGGGCGCTCGCGGGCTGGAAGAGAAGCCCAGGAGAGCGCAGCGGAGTGAGAAACGCCAGGGAATGGGTGACCAGGGCAGCGCAGCTCACCAGCCACCAACCACGCCAAGGGACAGCTCCCAGCCACCGACCACGCCAGGGGACAGCTCACCAGCCACCGACCACGCCAGGGGACAGCTCCCAGCCACCGACCACGCCAGGGGA